GGGGGGGGAGGCTGGGGGGGGAAAGGCCTGGTTTGCTTGGGAATCATTCGGCATCTTTACTTCAAAGGACTTTCATCCTGTGGCGTCGAGTGTTTATCTTACAAGCAGAGAAGCCCCTACCTTTGCTTCCAGAGGCAAAGCAAGATGGACATTAGTTGGTAACCAGAATTCGCTTCTTTTCTGCACCCACAAGTCAGGTGCACTTCTGTTACACTACAATGACCTTGTTATGTAATCAATAACAGAAAATCAGGATTTCTTCACCTGTCCGATGGGAAACATTCAGCAAGGACACTGACAAGTGGCATTCGACTCTGTCAGAGAGCTACTGGACATCAGTTTAATAAATAAACTGCCCCTGCCGCTTTTCTACCCCTTTCTCCAGGGCCAGATTTCCCATCCGTGATAGCCGTATTTCATTTCGGCTTAGCATCCATCCACTGCCTGCCTACCATATCATACCTCCCCTCTTCCCATTACTTTTCCTATATTGACTTGGGCCTGAATGAAGCATTCACAGCTCTCTTCCATTTCTTAAAGTTTAGATAAAGTGTGGTTGCCGGCTACCAGCTCCTGCCACTAGAAAGAACAAAACACCCTTGTTCTTCCTTCAATTACATGAATAAACCCGGGAGAGATAACTACATATACTTTTCCTTACTTTGGCCCATCTACATAAATCACCATAGCATCATATTTCCAGTTTTCAGGGATTACATGACTGGCTTTGATGCATTAAATGCAGCCTTGAATGACATTTCGGGCCTCGTACTCAGAGCCTATTCATAATCTTTGGGGAAGGGTGGAGATGGATAGAAGAGAACTGGCTTAAATGTGGGCATTTCAAGGGGAGCAGAAACGGAGGCCTCGTGTGGAAAGAGGAGTTTGGGGAGCAACAATGTCAAGCGATCTCAGCGTGGGTTTTAAATCTTCGGATTGGATTCTGGCTCTGTGTCCTTCTAGCTGTGAAACTTGAGGCAAGCCTGCTCACCTGGATTAGCTGATATAAAGAAGTGACTGGCACTTCTAGTGTTCGATCCCCTACCCGGTCGTTTTGGTTATTGTGTGGCCCCCAAATGAGTGGCCACTAAAAACAAACCTTTTATCAGTTGATTAGAACGTAGGTAAAGCCAGCCAAGCCTAAGGCCTTTCATAGAAAGCAAAACCCAACACTCAAGTGTGATTTTCCTGTTTTTTTTTAAAAAAATAAACAAAGCGGAGAAACGTTTATTGTGGGCTGACAAATAAAATACAATCGTGTCACAAAAACATGTGGAAATTCCCCGAACCGTACGACTTCAAAGACCATGCCTCTGATATTTCCCATTTAAAGACTGAACAGCGAAGGCTACGGAAAGAAATGTACACGATCGCGTTCGCTCGGGAAGGGCTGCTGGAGTCTTTTCCAAACATGTTCATTTGTGTTTTACTTTTCCGCAGAGACAGTTCGCATCTGAGGAGCGTGACAGGGGCTTCTTGGTCGGAGGTAACGTACCAGAGTGACATCCAAGTCTCAGAGCAAGAAGCGGAGGCTGCAGTCCATGCTTCTAGGGGCGTTTAGGAAGCCCCAGGCCCAGGCTGGTGTAGGATCTGGACAAGGGATGGGCGGGACTGGTAGTTGATATGCACAGCACAAGGAGGCTGCGGCTTGCAGCTCCGTAGAAAAAAAGTGGTGCTTGTTCTTGGGTGTTTTTTAGCTCGCAAAGTGATTGTGTCCCAATTCTGCACACGAGGGCCCAGCAAGGAAAAGGTTACCTGCTACTGACACCACCCTGCATTCAGGTACCTGCACTGCCAAAGGCCCACGCCTATGTGAGCACAGGGGAGGGACGGAGAGAGAAGCGGGGAAAAGCACCTGTGTCACATGTGCAGGCCCTTATTGCACAAACCGAGTACAAATAGCGTCCCATCTCCGTGACGTGTGGGTAGACTGTAGTATCTTCAGTGGGTGGGCAGAAAAATGTCTGTCTGAGCTGATAAACCCAACCAGACAGAGAGAGTCACTCTGAAAAGCCACCATCTGTAATGGACCTCATATCGGAGGAACATGGGCAAGAAATGTCTTGTACCAAATGCAATTCCAACAGAAAAGGGAGACTTGCATACAAGTGACAGGAGAATCCCACATAGAGTGAATGAGGGCTTCATGCAGTTCCCTCCCCCCCAAAACCCTTCACGACTGCAGATATACTTGCATTTCTCCCTTTATTGAAGAAATTTATTCTAGTGGTTAAGATGATGAGAAGGATTTTAGAAATTATTTTTAATCCAACAGCCCTTAACTAAACTGAAATTTCCTTTACTGGAAGATGGAAGAAATGTTAAGGCCTGACTTCTATCCCCCATTGTGCGTACCAGGTACTAGTCCTTTCCAGGTACTCCTCCCAGGTACCTGTGATTCTGGGGGACTTGAATAACCTAGGTAAGTGACCTCAAACAAATTCCAAAGCCAATCTGCTTTTACCTTCCTCCCCTCCAACACACAACCCTTTTATTTTTAAGCAATACAAAGTAACTAGAAAAACAGACTTATATTTCACCTTTGCAGTCTTAGTTTCACTTCAACTGCAAACCAGTACCAAGCAAAGGAGGTGAGCACAGTGGAAAGAAGAAAAAATAAGGGGTGTGACTAAGCCTCTAAACTAGAAAAGCCATCTTTTAATCACTTAATACTAAATATGATTGGTAAGGTAGCTGAAATGAGCAGATTTTTTGGTAACTGTATTATAAACAAAATATTCACTTCACTATATGTGGGTATTTTCAACCTGTGAATTCTAAACCCCAGTGAGACACTATTTAACCCCCCAAATAGACAGGAAAGATGAACATGGGCAGGATGAACTGCTAAACACATATCTGCATAACTCATATTCGTACTGCACCTTACAAGACAAACCAGATTTTGTTTGTTTGTGACCAGTACAGATTTTACAGCTCTATTTATTACTCTGTATCTGTCCTCAAAAACAGTAGAGAATTGTCAGTAACTCCATGAGAAGCAGCTCAGGTTTACCTGGAATATACACACAATATAGAAAAATATGCTGTGCTGGGGAGGTGGTGGTGGAAGGGTGGGTGGTACTATTTTTGGGAACTGTCTCTTTTCTGCACTTCACTTTTCCTAGTGGAGACGCATTCCCTATACATCATGGCCAACCAGAAAGGAAATTCTGAAACCTGTTCACACGTTAGTGGGTATATCTTCGTTCAGTCTTCCTGAGAACACTGATGTTCAGCATAGATCAAAATTCTACGTGTCCATTAACACAGAGACTGGCTTCACAAATCATCCTTAAAACACTCTTTCAATCTTTAAAAAATGTTATCGATTTGGCCGTGCTGGTTCCAAAGCTTGACATCAGATATGCCTCTCTGAACAGCCTGCAAACTCTGACTTCCCCTCTTTTTTACAATGTGTACAAACTACAAAAATCTCTAATCTCTTTTCCCTTTTCCTTGAGGCTGTGATAGGATCCTGATGCAAATGAAAATACAAAAATCACTGGATGTAACAAAAGACCCCGGCAATACCTACTTGTCAATAATAAGAAATTAAAGCATTACCCTACTGAGCCCAGGGCTGACCTAATTTCCTACCATACAATTGAAATTTTCTCTCACCTTCTTCAGTTTCAAGTAGTGTGCAAGGTTATTATAACCGCCTCAGAGCTGTTCCTGCTGTCAGTGCTGGAATAATCACACTTATTGAAATTGTTTTAGTTTCTTAAAAACAAACATTAAACACTTATAAAAAGTAACATATTTCTACTGCTCTTGCCGGAAATGGCAGTTGCCTAATTAAAATAAGATTTCTTCTGCCACCACTGTTGTTTGGGAGTGAAAATAGTCCAAACAGTTGCCTTTTTTTAAAAAAACAAAACAGCTTTCCATTACTTCCCAGGGAAGAAACTAATCGCTATGCAGCAATATAAAAAGGTAGCGTTCTCTTGCGATTTGCAGAGGATTAGAGTTTGGCTTCATATATAATCTGGAGGCCATTGATACACTGTAACACACACACACACACACACAAAATCATTTCCCTTTAATCTGGGGATCAGACTCTTTTTCTAGAGGAACCTTGGCATTTCCATCTGAATGTTGAACTTGGCTTGCATTGCTGGAATACTGGCAGGGTGGGAATGGGAAAATATATTTAAAAGTTTCTGCTACTGTGGAAAGGGGGTTTAGAGAGGCGGGTGTCAATCAAAGCATCAGAAATCCTATTCTAGTCCCCATTTCTTTACCCTGGGATATTCAGCATTTTATTCTGCTTGGCTCAAGCCAGGGCAAAGGATGACTGCATGGGTGACTGTTCCAGCTGTTACTCGTCCTCGGTTCTATTTGCTTTTCAGGGCTGAATTCCCACCCACCCTCAACTTTGGCCAAAGCAATTTCACTTCAGGGTCGCGTCCAATCCAAGATCAAACAATGATGACTGAAACCAATTCCACGGTGATCAAGGGTCAGAGACCTTTCATAAAACCCTGTTGTTTCATTTGCTCTTCCAGCTTCTCCAAGAACAACTGTATCCTCCAAAGAGGGGATTTGGCACAAGGAAATTTTAAAAAGCTAAGCGAACCAAGAAAGGGTGATGAGGGGTGACAAGGAGAGGTGGCAGGAATATAGAAGCAGAGAGACCGGGAAGAGCTTGTTGGCCAAAGAAGAATGTAGATTTCACTTAAACACTTTGGTTCGCCACTTAAATCAGACGGATTTTTTTTTCCCCACGTGAAAGCGTTTTATAATTAATAATATGCCTCCCTCGGGCAACTAAACCCCTTCGATTTAAGCTTCCAACTTAACTTCAGCATTTTA